CCCCCCCCACACACAAATCCACACATATATCTCCATGCATACTATGCATGTGTTTATAGTTTTAGGGTATGTAATAATCTCAGGCCTGGGGAGGCTGAGGTAGGAAGCTAGTGATTTCAAGATGATCCCATGCTCCCTAGCAATGCCCCATCTCTGAAAGCCAGCCACGACAGAATGTTTCGGTGGTTGTGACTCCGTGGCGGAATGCTAGCCCACCAACTCGAGTCCCTGCGGCAAGGCCCCAGGGACCTCCTCCTCAAAAGGTCCCATATTCTGTATTGCGTTTCGTCACCGGTCTCTACCCAGGCAGACTAGAGCAGAAGTCATCAAACTTTCCATAGGAGCGTGCTGAACGAGCAATGACTTTTCTGTCTCCTAGCGACCAAGTACAAATGAAAAGGGGAAAGGGAAAGAAAGCTGAGAACCCGCTGCACAAGTGTTAATGTGTAGGGTCAACCTTCCAACCCCGGCAGGTGCTAATGTTGCTAGGCAGATAAAAAGCGTAAATGACTCCACGCTGGTTGAAAATCTACCAGGGCCAGATAACCTGGGAAGGACTCCTTGTTTGCAACGGAAGGCTCTCTGAAGTGCAAGAGGTATGCAGATAAGAACAGGTCTGTGCTCAGGACAGATATGGCGCCAAAGACTGCCTTTCCTCTGGCAACAGGCATCTCTGAGGGAGGGTAATAGCTTCATCGGGTCTTTGCAATTGTTCCCTCATAGAAAACCTCCAAGGTTTTCTTCTGATGTCTCCAAGGACATCAGAAGACAGAAGGTGGGCTTGCCACCACAGGAGACTTAATAGTACCATTCTGGGTCCAGACTAGCTACTCTGACTTTCTGCTTACCCTTTGCTGTCACAGCCACTCATGGCATTATTTCGTTCTGTTTAAGCTATTTTGCCGTGTCCTTTCCAGACGCTGAGCTCTGTGAAGCAAGCACTGCCTTGAGTTTGTTCACCACTGCTGAGCTCATTCAGGGACAGAGCTCAGTAAATATTTGTTGAATGGACAGATGAATGGATAGGCGCTATCAATGAACAAGTGAACTTAGAGGAATTAAACTCTAGAAGGAAAGTCCTTTTATTCCTTTTGATCATTCATTCTCCAAAATGCTAGTATATGTACTGTGGCTTTAGGGAACACTCAATACAATTTAATTCCATACCTTGTGTATAGGACTTAACCAAAGCTTCATTTATTTAGCAAAACTCAAGAATAAATTCCCAGGCAGTACTGTAACAGCAATGTGAAAGGCTGCTTTCTTGAATCCCTTACTTTTTTTTTTTTAATGGCCAGTAGCCTTACTGCATAATAGACTTTTACTATAAAATACAAAATGGGACTGTATGCAGGCTGAGCAGAACAGAACAGGAGATAAATAACACAGGGAAGGATAGCAGAGGGAAAAGGAGGTGTGGCCTGGAGGTTCCTTTTAGGGGAGGAACATAGAATGAAAAGTCGCATGATGACAGAAATCAAAAGGGAAGTGTGTTGATGTCATTAGACCTCTAGGTGTCTGCAGCAACCAGGAAGAAGGGAGCCTCCAGAGAGAGGTAATACCAGTGTCCAAGCAAGCATTTTCCGGCATTCTTTTCACTCCGTCCTTGCCGGTTTGCCATGAAGCCAGGAACAAACTAATCAGCTTGTAACATCCTGTTAGATAAATTGCCCTTTTGACTTCAGTTCCCCTTCAAAGCAGCGGTTCTCAGCCTTCCTAATGTTGCAACCCTTTAATACAGTCCCTCATGCTGTGCCGACCCCCAACCATAAAATCATTTCGTTGCTACATCGTAATTGTAATTTTGCTACTGTTACAAAACATAATGTAAATATCTTCTAGGCAGGATATCTGGTGTGTGAACCCCGTGAAAGGCTCATTCGACCCCCCCCAAAGGCTTTGCAACAGGCCAGTTAAGAACAGCTGCCTTAAAGTATCTAGAGTGATGGGTAAAGAAGCAGACCAGGGCCGTGGACAGAGTGTGCTGTGTGTGTCTAATTTCCTTCCCACCTGTTCCAGGACAGGGAGGAAGGTCTTCCAAATCGTGTTTCTGCAGTGTGTGATGAGTAAACAGGCTGGAAGTGACCTTTCCAAGGTTTCTGCGGGCAGACATTAGTCCCTGATAAAATGACAAGGGCGTAGACCACCTCTAGCCACTGGGTGGATGCCCAGCAGTAAATAAGAAATTACAAGAAAGTCCTTCTGAAGCCAGAGATAAGGTTTGTCTCATAGCCTTCAGTTCTAGAGATCCCAGGCCACTGGAAGGCTTGTGGGTATGGCCAGGCACTGTGCTTTAATGTCAGGCCTCCTACTTATTAAGGTTCAGCTTGCTCTCAAATTCAGACCTGTTTTTAGGGGCTAATTAAAATACACTATCTTGAAAAGACTATAGTGCAGATGCCAAGCTTAATAGACAAAAAGAATTATAATAGATTCATGATGTTTGCAAGGGATTGAAGGTGGGGTGACATCATATGTGCTTTATCTGATGGCCTTGGTCCCCCCAGATCCTGCCCAGCACAAATGTTGTATGTGTGTACATAGCCCAAGGAGATATTACAACAACCTTATGGAAAGTATGTCAGTAAAATGATGCCATGGCTTGAACTTTTCTAAAAGAACAGCAAAAACATCCTATGTGCGGCACAGTCTATTGCTGAAAAGGTTTTGAATCTTCATAGTACATTATGTCCTGTAGATGGTTGATTTGAATATTTGCTTTAAATTACAGCGGCTTTGAAAATTACTGTTTAATTGTAGTCACCACAAATGACTCTGTACGTTCAAATACTTAGCTCTCATTTGCCTTGACTTAAAAGAGCCAGCATTGAGCACCAAATTTTTCTGTCCCCAGAATCATAAACTCAGTGAATAAAAGTGGGAATGAGGACAATGTTATGTTGTCCATTTTTTTCCCTCTGATAAGATTCTTGAGTGTATTAGTCCAAGGCTGGTCTTCTTGGCAAGACTAGTTTGTTAGAATGTGGTTGTCTTTGTTGGTATAAAGGTTTGCTATTGACATAGCTCTTTCCATTTTAACCCTCAGGGTGGAGTTTTAAAAGCACAAGTCTGGCCTACAGCGTGGGTGGCTTGGACGGCCTCCGCTGACTGCTACAGCCGCCTCCCTTATACTAAACCAGAGCACTGTGACAGTCTCTCTCTGAAGGAAACCCTTAGGATGTAATACATTGACCAGCCCAGAACTGACCTTATTAAATAATGCTCTCTTTCCACCTCCCCCCTTCTCGTTCCAGAAACAGAGTTATCCATCAGTGCTGAGCCAGTGCCTACCTCATCCTGGAACATTTCAAGTGAAATCGACAAAGGTATGCAAAGGGGAAAACAGGGGACCAGGGGAGGAAGGAGGAGAAAGGGCTCATCCATAGCTTGGCCCGCTCTTCATGACATGGGCTGCTGTCCACGTCTTTAGGAGGCGGCAGCGGCAGAAATAACCGCCCCCTCCCCCCAGCTCATTTGGTGAAGATTTAACACTTTACTATTTGGAATTATTTCTGAAGATGTTCTTTTCTTTTCTTCTTCCCTTCTTCTAAAATGTTCCACATGGTTAAAATGGTTCAAGATGTGAAGTGTGCCATTTCTCACCTTCCTGCCTCTAATCCCAGTGGGTCACGTTTAGGGGATTTGTTTCAGCCTAAGGCATGACTGGTCTAAGACGTTGGCTGGGTGACCTTTCTGGACAAGCATTTGGGTTGTGCTTGTGGGGTTCAGGACCCAGCATCCAGAATGCTTGTAATTACCTGTCCGTGCAGACAGCAGCTTCCTGAGGACATGTGGGTAATAGGTTCCCACCATGAAGTTGCTGCTTTGCATTAATTAAGGCCTGCCATCGTGCTAAGCATTGGCTGCTCTGAGGAGAGCCTATGGCACAGGCATTCTGGCTCTGTTGGCCTCTCCAGCCTTACTTCTTTTTAGTCCCGTTTGTCTTACCTCCGTATCTCTAACTGTTTTTCTGTATCATCTAGTATTTCCTGTTCTTCTACCTGGCTTTACCCTTTTTCTATTTTTTTTTTTTTTCATTGCCAATACCCACCTTCCTTTTCCTGTGAGGAGCAAATTCTTTCTCTTTCAAGAGTGAACACAAGCTCTATGCCATCCATGGGCTTCTTCAGTTTCTTGCAGAAAATACCCTTTCTTTCCTTAGAACTTTCACTACCTCATTCATTCATTCACTCATTCATTGTTTCATCCAGTGATCCATTGCTTAAATTTCTATTTGTTTTTTAATTTAGTTTTTTTTTTCAGAATGAAGGAAATTTATTATTATTAATTTAGTTTCTCATATGTTACATCCTGATTGCAGTTTTCCCTCCCTCTTCTCATCCCAGTCACACACACACACACGCACACACACACACTCCCTACGCATCCACTGTTCCTCCATTTCCCTTCAGAAAAGAGGAGATCCCCCAGGGATATCAACCAAACATGGCATATCAAGTTGCATAACACTGGGCACCTCCCCTCATATTAAGGCTGGACAAGGCAAACCAGCATGAGGAAAAAGATCCCAGAAGCAGGCAAAAGCATCAGAAACAGCCACCCCACTCCCTGTGTTAGACATTCCACAAAAATCACCAAGTTACACAACTATAGCATACATGCGCAGGGCCTCCGTTAGAGCCATGCATGCTCCCCGATTGTCATTTCGGTGTCAGCGAGACCCTATGAGCCCAGCTTTGTTGATTCTGTGGGGTTTCTTGTAAAAGAAGTCAAAGTATATTTGCTTGCAGATGATATGGTAGTATACACAAGCAACCCCAAAATTCTACCAGAGAACATTTACAGCTGGTAAATGCCTTCAGTGAAATGGCTGGATACAAGATTAACAACAACAAATCAATAGCCCTCCTGTATATAAATGACACACAGGCTGAGAACTAAGCCAGGGAGGCAACACGCATTACAAAAGCCACAAATAATATAAAATATCTTGGGGGTAACTCTAACCAGGCAAGTGAAAGATCCGTATGACAGGAACTTCAAGCCTTTGAAGAAAGAAATTGAAGAAGATGAAAAGATTTCATAGATCAGTAGAATTAACAAAGTAAAAGTGTTCATCCCCCAAAAGCAATCTATGGATTCAATACAATCGCCATCAAAATTTCAGCACCATTCTTTATAGATCTTGAATGAACAATACTCAACTTTATATGAAAAAACACACCCAGGATAGCTAAAACAGCCTTGCCTAAATTTCTTACTAATCCTTTCTCTTGCTACTGCTTGTTGAATTAGGATCCATAAATGAATCAGAAATAGGTTTCTTTCTGTCTGTTCTTCTCTTAGCCAACATGGTACTTTAAATAGCCATCTTCCCTTAAGGCTGGAAGAGGTTTGTAGACAGATGCCTACAAATCTACCTTGTTCTTTGGTGGTGGGAGTGGCGGGAGTGAGGACACAGACTCTTGCCCATGTTAAATCCTCAGTAAAGGTGAGTAAAATGATGAATCTCACTGTACTATGCAAGAAGCTGTTTTGATACGTACAGTGTGCAAATACTCATGTCCAATCTCTTACCAAGTTAAGGAGTTTGCATTCTCACCTTTTCTTATCACCATGATAGAATACCTGAAAAAAAAAAAAACTGGGCTCACGGTGTGTGGGGGTACAGTCCATCATGATGGGGAAGGCAAGGCAGAGGTCACGGTGGCTCACAGCTGCGGCAGTGGGATTCTGAGGCTGCTTTGGCAGACCTGGAGGGGCAGAGAAGTCAAGCTAGAACTAGGAGCTGGCAATAATCCACCAGGCCCCTTCTCAAAGCCCCACTGCTTCTAGCTACATCCTGTGTCCTTCAAGTTCCACAGCCTCTCCAAACAACGCTACCAGCTAGGGAGCAAGTATTCAAACACATGAGCCTATTCAGGCCTCTACCAGCTCAAAAGTCATCAGCCAAGAATCCTTTTGTAATCAGCTGTTTCTGCTGCTAAAATCCTCCCTGGGGTTTTAGTTTCAGAATATGGGAAATGTCTGGAGGTGGACGGTGTGAATGGCTGTGATAGTGGGACCGGACTGAAGTGGCTCACTGGCAGCCTTCTTGGTTATGCCTTTTCCCAGTTCTGGCCCAGGCCTCTCTCTGTTTCCCATGGAGCCATCCTGCCACCCCCTTCCCTCCCATGATGGTTCAAACCGAACTGTGAGCCTAGGTAAATCCTTCCTCTCCTAGGTCGCTTCATTCTGCCATCATAGAGATGAGGAAAAAGATTAATACAGGCGTTCTTCAGTGCAGTAGAAGAGGCTTTAAACAATTCCTTTCACCTTCGTAGATTTACTCAAAATCATTTCAGTCCAACAGGAGGGATAGGTGTTACAAAGGAGTAGTATAAGATCACAAATTTTTTTTTTTCTGGAAAAAAAAAATGATTCTTGCATGCTCCTTGCTAGGCTCAAGTGAAAGCCACCAGGGTCAGCTGTGCATTCTCTCTGGCCCATTCCTGAGAGTCTGAATACATAAAACTGTACCTCCACCCTCTGGAGCTTGCAGAAGTTGGTCCACTATGAAGCAAACATCTGATGATAGGGACCCACAAAATAAGAAGGCAGTAATGGTTCCCCATCTGTGAGCTCTGGAACCCATTACAGACATCATCAAAAGGCAGCAGTTGGTGGGAGGATTTCTTCAGACAAGGTTGAAAAATTTGGCATTCCTGCGCCAGGCCAGATTTCCTGGAGGGCTGTGAGAAACTCCTAATTACCCTTTGTTCTGGGCAGTGTTGTTTCAGAACAGCTCTTGCCAAGACCTCGTGCTTAAACACCGCTTTGCCTGGTTGTATTACATACAACGCCCATGTGCTCCGAGAAACTGCCCATAGCCTTTGCTGCCTGAGCAGAGTAGGAAGCTCCCCCCTCCACACGGCTCAGGCACTCTTGGTTCTGCTTCCAGTTATCACAAAGAAGCCTGATTTACCTCTCGCCATTTTCTGCAAATGAGTCCATTTTTAAACTTTTTATTATAATTTATTCCCTTTGTATCCCAGCTGTAGCCTCCTCCCTCACACCCTCCCAATCCCGTACTCCCTCCCTCTTCTCCTCCCATGCTCCTTCCCCAATCCACTGATAGGGAAGGTCCTCTCCTCCTTCCCTCTGACCCTAGCCTATCAGGTCTCATCAGGACTTGGGCCTATGTTACACCTGACTATTTCAGGCCTCTGGGTTATACTAGTATAGAGTTCAAACTGATTTGTAAGGATGTCCTGTCTGTGTCTCCTTCACTTATCTTCTAGACCCACAGGGAGGGGTTCTCCTTAAGGATCTTTTCCAGGACTTTAACCTCAGCATTGCTCCTAAAACATATATCTGCTCATTCATTCGGTAGTCACACGTAGTAAGTATGGGCCAGGGCCACACACAGGTGAAGCACTTGGTGAAAATAATGAAAGTGCCTGCTCTCTGGGGGAAGTTAGCAAAGCCCGGATGTCACAGCTAACCCCTTCTGAATGGGTGCTGTGGACTACCATCAAAACTCCAGGGAGGCACTGCTGTGTCCATTTTATAGGCAGGAAAGCAAGTCAGAGCAAAGTCAGAAGCTAATAAAATGCAGAGGCAGAATTTTGTGCCTCAGTACCCACTGTAAGCCCTTTCTATTATATTCCATTTCATTAGAGTTACTACAGTAGCTGATTCTGAGATTTAGCACATTTATAACTTTGTATTTTACATTAGTCTGATCATAAGAAATTTGTATGATTTTTTTTTAAAAGAAATTTGTATGATTTTTTTTTTAAAGGAGGAAAAGGATGTAGACAGAGCCGGGGGTGGGGGAGTGGAATAGCTTTTCATTTCCCAACTATGGTAAGCTACCTCTTTTACAAGTTTAAATAGTTCAGATCTTGCTTTTAAAGACTCTACAGACCAAATTTGCATCTTCTTGATTCTCTGAGCTTTTTAAAAGTCAGCATTCCTATTTTTCCCACTAAGTCAGCTCACGTGCTTTTGTTGTTTCCTTGAGTGCTGCATGCTTTGCCCAACTAATAGCCACTGGAGGTAGGGGCAACCACGTACTCTCTCTGGCATATTTTCCTGTGGTAGTGAGCCCTGGATTTCACAATTAATACTCTGCATTCTTCCATAAGACGCTAATAGTCTAGTAAGAGAAAGAACCAAAATGAAGTGGGCACATAGCAGGCAAATGTATAATGCACTCCACAGCACAATGGGAGTGGCGACTCGAGAGCTGAGTGTTATAGGAAGGAGGAGAAATAGGACACAAAGGAATACATCTGGCCATGCTCTTCATCTCTTCTCCTCTGCCCAAATGAATGACAGGCCTGCATACTCATTTTCTCATACAGTTCTTCCTGGGTGTTTT